TTGTTGACATAATTAGTCAGAGACGAAGAAAATAGAGCACCCAGTAAAAACTATTCTATTTGAATGAACTGTTGTATACAGTTAGATATGAGCAAGTGACCCTAATAATGTGCTGTTCCACCCCGATTCCATAAAAATTCATCCCGTCTGTGGGGAATGCTTCTGATGAGGTAATGTATGTTCTTGAGATATATTATTTCAAACTAGCTGTATCTGTTTCCGAAAAGCTGTAAGCGTTCATGAATGATGTGGTAAAGAGTTGAAGTCTCTTGATAAATGCGTATTCATTTGTTTCAACTTTTGTTTTTATGGAGCAGCACATTTTTATATCTAAACTGTGTCTTCCGCTCGATTTTACTATTGATCCACGGGGATTAAAATGTGCACCTTTGGCATAAATTCGAACAATGAGAAGGCGCTTTGGAATTAATGGATCTAATGAATTTGGTCGATTTCTTGTAAAATGTCTCTGATACTAGAGAAAAATTATACGATTTGTGTAAAATGACCTCCTAGTTCTCATAATAAATCAAGAAATACTTCATATAACACACGATTTAGACACAAAACCTATTTTTAATTTGTGTCGCTAATTCTTCCAATTTAAAACAATGGTTTGCGTATAGTCTCAAATTCTAAAAATCAAAAATTAAGGATTTGTGGCCTACTCGAAACATGGATCAAACCTGACACAATAGATTTGTATTACGCCATTAGTTAACATTTTATTGAAAAAAATAATGGCACTGTTGCTATACAAAATTCTGCTTAATAAATTGTTTGAGGTCATAAATGAAATTACAGAATGCTATTTATTCAAGAAACATCAAGTAAATCAATTAACTTTGGTTATTGTGCGAAAAACCCTGATCCTTAAGCCAACCCGGTTACTGTTACTAGGGAGATGTCGCGCACTCTACTAGGCGGTGAGATGACTACGCGACCATGCCCCGCCGCGGTTACGGTAGCAAGGCTAGAAGTAGTCATCCCACTGCCCAATAGAGGGCGCAAGAGCTCCCTGTTAACAGAGCTGGCCAAATATATCAATCAAGATATTGTATCAGATTGGGGTCCATGCTTCGAGTATGTCGCAAATACTTCTTTTTCGTGGGTATATTTTATGACCGTGGCCGACAATTTAGTGTCAGGACACAAATGAAAAGATAGGTTTTTGTAGCTAAACTAAGTGATTAATGACCGATTTCTGGATTTAGTATGGGAATCAGGGGCACATCTTACGCAAACCGTATAATTATTCTCTGGTTTGATAGCCATTTTAAATTAAACCGACCATATTCCTTAGATCCATCACTTCACCTGCTAATTGGTTGGATTTATGACCGACGCGCTTTCTTGCACCCCGGCTTAGCAAAGTCGGTCCTAAGTGTGTGTCACCATAGATTTGAAGTAGAAAGCGTTGTGACTATGTTCTTATTTACAGGGTGTTCATTTGAAAACCTCCCACCATGGAATTGTCAAAAACCACTGATTAAAAGAAAAAACGTCGAGACACGTCAAAGGATTTGTCAAGGGGGACAACTTTTTAACCAAAAACTACTGAACCTCCTTTCACCCTCTGCCCACCAGGGTCATCCCCTTGAGATTTTTAAATGACAAGGGGTATCGAGTAATACTTGTTTCAAAGGTCTTTTGAATCCCTTTATTTTGACGTTTGATTTTTCAGAATCAGTCGATTCGTTTTCCAGAAAATTAGAAAAATCTTTATTTATCTTCATTTGTTCAGATAGAAAACAAAAACGCCTGAAAATATCACGATTAATGATAAATCTATTAGTGTAAAGAATATCTTCAGTGATGAATGCAGATTTTATCTAAATATTTCTTAATAAGCAAAGATGCAAGTATTGGAGTAATGGAAATCCTCATGCTTTTGTAGAAGGGCATGCCCAGTACCCCCAAAAAATGAATGTATGGGCAGGCATTTTAGGAAACAAAGTGATTGAGCCATTGTTTATTAATCGAAATTTGAATGGAGGCATTTATTTGGATATGTTGGAAAATTCCATCAATCCGCTTATCACTGAAACGATTAAGAACCAAATCGAAGAGGATGGAAACCCTATATTTGATGAGGCTGAAATACATTTCCAGCAAGACGGCGCTCCTCACTATGTTCTTCCGGTTCGGCAATGGCTAGACGACGAGTTTTCAGATAAATGGATAGGGCGAAGAGGCCCTATAGAATGGACTGCTAGGTCTCCTGATTTGACACCATTAGACTTTTTTGTATGGCGCCATTTGAAATCTATTGTGTTTACTCCCAACCTGAAAGTTTGGTTGAAGTTCGTCAACGCATCATCGAAAGCGCTGCATGATATCCCACAACATGCTTTTGAAAATGTCCGTCGCTTATATCGTTGTTTGGCCAAAAACAGGCAGCATTTTAAACACTTATTGAAATAAAAAGTGATATTTTCGTGTGTTTTTGTTTTCTATCTGAATAAATTAAGATAAATGAAGGTTTTTCTAATTTTCTTGAAAACAAATCAACCGATTTTGAAAAATCCAACGTCAAAATAAAGGTCTTTGAAAGACCTTTCAAACAACCTATTACTGGATACCACTTGTCATTTAGAATTTTTCAGGGGATGACCCTGGGGCAGAGGGTGAAAGAGGGTGAAATATTTTTGGTTAGAAGTTGTCCCCCTTGACAAATCCTTTGACGTGTCTGGCGTTTTTTTCTTTTAGTCTGTGGTTTCTGATAAACTCGTGGTGGGAAGTTTTCGAATGACCACCCTGTATATATGTTTGTATTCGAAAATAGGCTAATTGGGCTATTAAAAACAATCAAGTACTAAAATGAGAGTTACAATTTTTGAAAGCTTAAAATACATAAAATATTTAAATGCAAAAATCTCGTTTGAGTTATTCCTAGGGACGAAAACCCCGCTTATAGATGATGGTACTTTCCATTTCAACCCTTGTTGTTACTAGTGAATCAAACTTTGTACATTTAGGTAATTGGGAACGATTCCGCTAAGATCATAAACAGATACCAATCAAAGTCATAGAAACCTTAGCATAAACTTTATCCTCTTTCTTCTGAAACAATATCGTGATTTTCAATCGGTAATTCTCCATGTGAACTAAACATATTTTCGGTGCGTGCAAAAATGTATAAGCCCAGACTTGAAAGTCTATACCTATGTAAGTAGCGTGTTCAGGTTTCAGTTTTAGGTAGGACTAAGGACTATCCTATTACTAATATGCGGTCAAGGAGATATCAACATGAGGTATGGTATCTGAAGTATTTAAACACTGACAAAAGTTCTTATTTCGTTCCGAGAATATATCAAAGACGTCATATTAAATAGACAACAGGCAGCAGCGGATGCGTAGTGGTAGATGTTATGGGTCTAATAATAAGTCTCCGTGGGCAGAGTTGGTTCGAATCCCATCCTAAGAGAACTTTTTCTCTTGGATATAGATGTGATGTCCGTAGGTGGGAGACGGTGGAGAACGTGGAGGTACCACCCGGCGGATCTCTAAGGCGGCGCCAGATTGTGTGCATGATGCATGCACATGTGCTCCCTCGTTAGAGCCTGTGTGGCATCCTCCCTTTCACCTATATCCCATTCCCTCTGTAGCCCCACGGTACGGCATGGATGTGTTTAGGCCTTAGGCCTTCGTGGCGGTTCAAGTTTAAAAGAAACAACATACGAAATTTATCAAGTTGTTGTTATTCCATGGATACTCAGACTTTTTGAACATTTTACTACCACGGCACTGGAGCGAGAAATTTCTGAAAAGAAGTTATTGTTTTTTTTGACATTATAGGATATCTATGTATATCTCGAAAAACCATGTCACTCATTTCCGTCGGTATTTCTGTCCGCTAATGCTTGGCTGTCTATAACTTGGAAAGTATGGCTCGGATTTTGATCAACTTTTGACACAAGGTTATTACTATGCTATTACCAAGTAAGAAAATCCTGTATAGTTTTTGAAAATCGGTCCAGTAACGGCGGAGCTGGGTGCAAGAGACAAAAAAGAAAAATCTCTTAAACTTAGTTTTTTTAACGTTTGGGAATCAGCTGATCATTTTCAGAAACTTTTTGGTAGGGGTTGAAACTTGCGGTGGAAGGGGGTACGGGAGGATATATCTACATATTTCCTTGTATACGTGTACTTAAGTCTTAGGATGATAGACATATTTTTTATGCGAGTATCTATAAAATGTTTTTATCCGCTGTCGGACGTACATCCATGTGATGAATATGTTACCTGATCAGCTGAGAAGAGGATATCAATGACGTCCCGGCGACGCGGCGTAACAAATGCGACTACCAGGGGGAATATAGTTTACTGGTGACAACATTAGGCTGAAAAAATTGAGATAAATAAAGATTTTTCTAATTTTCTCGAAGACGAATCGACCGACTTTAAAAAATCAAATGTCAAAATAAAGGCTTTCGAGAGACCTTTCAAACAAGCTATTATTAGATACCCTTTGTCATTTGAATTTTTTAAGGGGATGGGCCTGGGGGGCCGAGGGTGAAAAGGGGTGAAGTAGTTTTTGGTTAAAAAGTTGCCCCCTTGACAAATCTTTTGACGTGTCTCGGCGTTTTTTCTTTTAATCAGTGGTATTCGATAAATCCGTGGTGGGAAGTTTTCAAATGAACACTCTGTATAAAAAATATACATTATTTCACATTTGGATTTACCACATAATTAGGGCAATTAACGTGTTTGTTCTATAGCTTACGTTTAAAATGATATTTACTCAAAGCGCTGACTGCTTCCATCTTAGAATGATCATAACTATTAAAAAATAAAAAATCTGCGAATTTCATAACCATCCGTACGTCAATGGCTTCTTCACATACCACCTTGTTTTTTAAAATTTTTGTTAGAGTAATAAAAATACGATAAAACAGGGGTTTCCCCTTTCCGTGCCATCCTTGTGCGAAAACACAACTCTAGATTTGAGGTTATGTCTATACTACACTTTATTACTAACTGAACCCAAAAAACCTCACCTTGTCATCCAAGAACGTCACTGCCGAAGGCAACATATCGGATTCGTGGTCCTCCATATTTGCACGCTCTCTGTGGATTCCAAAGCGGAGCGATCGGCAGGCCGGGTGCCCTGAGCCCGGAGTATTACACGCGATAACTTCACGGAGACGTAACGGAAGTGCTGGGTATGCAGGCACGTCATAGAATCAATAGGGATCAGGTCTTTAATTACGCACAGGACAGAGGAAACACAACGCAAAACAAAAAGGTGAAGTGCGGCCAGGCGATGTGTAAATACGATATACGGTTAACATGAAGTAGACGGTTGAGTTACAGGACAGTGGCGTTGCGTTTGGGGCAATCAGTTGGTGGACAAAAATGTTGCTCAAAAGTTGCAACTTTTGTCAATTTTTTAACACTGTTTTTTGCCTCCAAAGCGAAACAAGTAGGTACGCTGCTGGCATGAAAAGATAACATATTCAGGCTGTTCTGTACTTGGACATAGGGAAGTGGTAGGTAGTACGGAACGAGACCGTTCGTTCAAATATAATGTTTTTAGAAGAGGCACAGAACTCAAAACTTCAAGGGCTGTCAATTTGGTTCCATCAATATCTTACAAAATAATGCTTAAAATTGAACTATGAACAGATGCTCAGGGAGTTCAAAATTTTAGGGTCGAATTCATTTTGTTATATTTTCTTCTATTTTATTAAGCCCGGTTATACGTTGAATTTATTATTATTTGGCAGAAAAAAGAGCAATACACGATATAAATGAGAGAAAAAATTAACGCTATGCATTCTATTTACTTATTTCGGTAGTTTTTTTGATGATTCAATTCTACCAACATAAGGTGAGTTCTGCTTAAAAGGGATACCGAATTTAATATGCAATTCCACCAAGTTTGAGTTTCCACACAAGCTTGAAATTGAGCTAAAATCCTAGAAAACGTAGTATGTATGTTCGTATTTTGACATTTAATTGTGCCATATACCTGATGTCCACGTAAACATAATTATGCTGAAAGTGTTGAGTCCGGACCTGTATATTAGCTTTTTCTACATTTTCATTATAATCCTGAAATAGTCTGCACAGACGAATTCAATCCGTTTGCATTCTGGATGCCGTTTCCCTTTAAAGCAGGACAGTTGGTAGAATTAAATCAATAAAATGTTACTGAAAGAACTAAGCAGTGTGCATAACATTCATTTGCAATGTTATTTAAATCATGTCTTGTTTTATTCTGCAAAATAATAAAAAATTCAGAGTACAACCTACAGAGCGTTGTGCTTAATAAAAAACTACGAGATAAAACAAACTGAATCCCATCCTGGAATTTTGAGATACTCAAACATTGTCAGTTCAATTTCAACCACTATTTTGTAAAATATTGATGAAATCAAGTTGATAACCCTTGAAGGTTTGAGTTTTGTGTCACCCAAGCTGGTTGAAATGGACATGTTTGCTCTCCGTATCTATAACCACGACCAAGCATAGACAGCATGGGTTTGCTCTCATTAGCTACTCGTCAGTGGGGTATAGGCCTAGTAGTCCTGGAGAGTAAGGCACAGAAACCAAACAAAGTGTTAATGGTTTGCTCTCCGTATCTATAACCACGACCAACCATAGACAGCATGGGTTTGCTCTCATTAGCTACTCGTCAGTGGGGTATAGGCCTAGTAGTCCTGGAAAGTAAGGCACAGAAACCAAACAAAGTGTTAATGGTTTTTTGAAAAACTCAAAATTCTGTGCGGAAGTAGGCGAATAATCTGACGTTCTCCTCCTACCACTCGTTTGCCAAGCTGATGTTCATCCTCATCCAATACGATGAAGATGACAGAAGACCCCTACGCTCATAACTTCTCTTAGAAGTCATATCATTAGCGGAAACTGCCAAAAACTTTTGCGAGGCTATAATTTCCCAAAAGTTCAATTTCCCTGATCTAACTAGAACTTTACTAAACATAATTATCCCAAAAACTCCAAGAAACTGCGTTCGTCCTCAAATGTTTGAAACGTTTGCTTGACCTTTCGTTCAGGGAAAATAGTCGATATGGGATACCTTACCATTTCAATAGTAGTCCAAGTTCAAAATTCGTCAGCTCAGAAATAATGTGTTTCTTATATTCGGTAGTGTAATGGAAAGGTACGTGAAAATTATCCTATGTTTAACGTTTTCAAAAAGAAGTTTGCCTACGCGTTACGCAGTACGAGCTTGTGATGTTCCAAACCCCACTGTAGAGAACAGTACGGTTCGTAAAGCCAAAGACCAGCATGATGCAAAAATTAGGTACAGAAAACTGGAAATTTGTTCATGTCCAGCCTGTACAAAAAAAAGAAGGATCTAAAACCGACTCATACAATTATAGTTCTGCATTCTCTTCTAAGTAAGGTGACGCAGAGGAGCATGAGTTTTATATCGATATCACGAATGCTTTCCATAAGCTATGGCATGCTGCCCTTTTATGTAAACTTTCATCCTATGGCCTCCCAGAAACCCAGAGACGCTTTGTGGATGGATGGCCGACTTCCTCTCTGGCTGCAAGATATCCGTCGTAGTTGACGGGTTCTCCCATTCATCCCACAATGCGCACACAAGCGCGGGTGTACTCCAGGGACCGGTCTTGACTCCGACTTCAACGACCTCCTTTCCTGTACGATCAACTCAATCCACTGCACTCTAGATGCAGGGATTCAGAGCGACAGGCCGATCTCTAACTGAAACAGTTTAAAGCTTCCAAAACACAGTACTGTACGTTAACCATTAACAGGCGTCATAGCGCGTATCCGGTGTTGAGGGATGGCTGACCTATCTCAAATAACCGCTCATTTCGGCTGGTTGGAATATAAATCACCGAGGGCTTGATCTGGCACGAACTCATCTCGTCAGTCGCCTCAGCTGCTGGAAAAAGAGACTGTTTTCTTAGCGCTAAGAAGTACTGTTCCCCACGTCAGCTCCTTACCTCGTGAAAGGCCAAGATAAGACTTAGCCTCGAGTACTGCATACATATTTGAGATGCTGTTGCCTCGAGTACATCATCCATACTCGATGATTGATGATTCTCTCCTAACGGATAGTCTCGCACCGGTTTGCTCCTCAGAGTTCTCCACCATTATGCCACGGTATCTCAAGCCTCTACCATATCAGACACTCAGGCCCAATTGCTTGTAAAATGTATATCAAAGAGACAGATAATTGCGATAAACAAGCTAGGCAATAAAAAAATATGTTCAAAGTATTCCATTTAACTTTCCTCCTTCCCTTCTAGAACTCTGTCCTATATACAAAAACTCTTTGTTCTAAGGCGTTCCATACACGGTATGGTGACCTCGTTTATCCCCGAGGAAGATTCTCTATTCCAAAACGGTAATGGTTTTCTTTTATGTCCGAGATTGCTTTTGTTCTTTCGACCAATCTTCCTGTCTGTCCATCCCACTGGATCGATGCTGAAGTAAATTGAGGGACGGCACTGTTATCAACGCTCTTTCTGATAAGATACGCTATAATAGCCGTGCGACTTCAAGTAATGTGTTTATTTGTGTTACTGGAAGATAAATACATAAATGTGAAGTTAGTGAATATAATAAAAATTATGTCAAGCCAGTTGACTCTATACATTCCACGCAACGCTATCATCAGTTCGTAGGGGATTATGATCGGCACAAGTTAGCCATTCTAAGAAAAAAGTTACCTACAAACATTTATAACAAGAGATTAAGTGACCTTTCTCTTTTCCATGAGGAAAATTCCTGCGGGTGGACATGATAGCTAATCCCGCCTGGATGACGATATTGACTTTTACAGCATACAGCCCACCACAACACATAAGCGACTAACGACTGCGATGCACGACCATCAGCCGGACCACGTCACATTTATCGATAGGCGACTGTTGTAGATATTTAACATTTTAAGTTTTAAGGGTAAATGTACGGAGACACCTATGATGAGTGAAATTTGTCTAATAAGTGCGTAGAATTGCTGTGGTTGGAGGAGTATAAATATAGCAACGTCTAAAAATTTTTTTCCGGAAATAATCAGGAGTCCCTGGATCGTCAAAAAACGAAGTTTTAAGTGATTTTTATTTTATTTTGTTATTGGCCTTTTTCTCTGCCACCACTGCACCGACTATCAAAATCTACAAAGTTTTTTCGTCCTTGGCACACTTTGTGTGAAAATTTCATCTAAATCCGAGTGGTTCATTCCAAGTTATAGACGGGCCAAGGATTAACGTGAAGTCAATCAGACCAACCGACATACAGATCGACAGAAATGAGTTACATGCTCTTTTGTGATGTACATGTCATATAACATCCAAAAAACATAATATTTGATTAAATTTTTTTGCGAATTACAATACTTCTCTCCAGCAGGCCATTTTGTTTCCATAAGGACATTTTCCTTAAATCGTAGTGAGAGATTCATTATGTGGAATATGTTGAATCAAGAATAAACAAGATAAGTTTAAGTTGGATTAAATAAATGTCAAGCCGTGAAAGATCACGTCTTTACTCGCGGATACAAACAAAAAGGTCCTTTATGAAAGGTTAAAATTTATTCCAAAGTACGAGCTTTCCAAAACTTCCTATCAACGAACTAAAGTTTTTGAACTGCGAACTCATTTCCGTCCTATGCCCTGAGTGAACAAGAGATTGAGGTGCATTGGAAAATAAAGCTCTATTTTTAGGATTGCTTGAACAAAATTTCAATATACCACGCTGAGCTGTTTTAAAAATTGTAATAATCGACTTCGCCCGATCTCGTTGTGCTACAGGATCGCGTAGGCTGTTATAGCAACAAGCTGTGTGGTAGGGAAGAAAAATAAAGTATGGAAGGCAAACGCCAAATATACACGTTTTGCACTTGGTCATTAGTGTTTACCTTGGAGATCATCTCAGTGGAAGAACGTCAGTAAAAATGCACTGCCAAAGATATTTTCCATACACATGCCATTGAAACGAAAATATGGATTTATTTTCTAATCGATCGAAGCGAGTACTAGCTACTGTGCATGCGCAGGGTATCTGAGGTTATAGTACGAATTACGGCCGCTTGAATCTGCAAGTATCTGTTTTTTTTATAAAACTTGAGTTTTATGAACGATAAATAATATTAGTTGCAGCAGGGTTGCCTGTCCAATTATTATTTTAATCTATTATTTATCATTCTTTGCTAGTACCATTAGTTTAGTTTAGTTTAGTTTAGTTTATTGACTACATTACATACATTATTGTACATTTGAAGTCACAGATTTTTGTATTTTAAATATAGTTACTTCTATTATACTTACTATTACTTCACTATTATTTAAAATGCATAAAAATTAAGC